CCAAGTTGCACCCCTACCTTTTCTATGACGAATGACGATAGATGCAAGAAGAAAATAGGAGTGGAGATCCTTTTTTTTATAGAACAAGAAATAAGGGGCTACACAACACTAGACATAGATACAACATTAGAATATGCATGATTAGCAAGCCCCTCCATTCTCTTAAGCAACGACTAACAACCTTCGATGATGAACTTCAATCTCCAAGGATGCTCCACTCGGTTCTTCAGATAATTGATTACTAGTTTAGAAGCCTTTGATAGTTATACTTTAGAAGCCTTTGATAGTTGAGTGCGATGTTGTTGGCTTTCCATGCAACCCACACTTCAGCTAGATTGATGGAAGAGATTCCTATTTTATATGCTTTGAAGTCGAGAATCTGGCCTTTATGGTCCTTGGATAAATAAGCTATCATGCACTACCCATTAATCTAGGAGGCATCAAAATTTATCTTAATCTCATCTATGGGGATGTTTGGAACCATGACCGTTTAAAAAAAAATAAAAGGTGCCATGTCGGATCCACATAGGCATTTCAACAAATGCCCATATATATGAATGTTTGGTTCAGGCGTTTATTGAAAAATTAAGTGTGTAAGGTCCATTAAGCAGTATCATACATGTTATGTCATTCCAGTGTGTGACTCATACGACCCAAAAAATGGAACCGTTTTGGGCACCAGTTTTCGGATTGACGGTTCGACCGTCTGGTTTAAACGGACGGTCCATTTTGACAACAAACATTAAAAAAATAAAAAAACAGCCAAAAACCATTGAATGGGTCAACAAGTTGATGGTTCGACCACTCGGGTCAATGGGGTCGTTGATCAATTCAACGGTTTTTGGCCAGGGACTGGGACTGGAGTAAAACGGAACTGGTTGCCTGGACGGTTCCCAATTAAAAAATAAAAAATGGCGGTTCGACCGTCTGGTTTGAATGGATGGTCCATTTTGACAATAAAAATTACGGACAAAAAATTGAATGTGTGAGGTCCATTAAGCATTACCATATGTGTTATGTCATTCGAGCGTGTGACTCATATGACTCAAAAATAGAACTATTATGGCCACCGGTTTTTGGGCCGACAGTTTGATTGTCTATTTCAAATGGTGGCCCGTTTTGACAATAAAAATTAAAAACTAAAAAAATGGCCAAAAAGCATTGAATGGGTTGATGGTTCGACCACTCAAGTCAATGGGTTTTTTGCCAAGGACCAGGATTGGGATAAAACGGAACCGGTTGCTTGGACGGTTCCCAATTAAAAAAACAAAAAAAACGGCCAAAACCATTGAATGGGTCAATGGGTCGATGGTTTGACCGCCCGAGTCAATGGATTGTTGACCGATTCAACGATTTTTTACGAGGGACTGGGATTGGGGTAAAATGGAACTGATTGCCTGGATGGTTCCTAGGCCAAAATGTTCATCCGTCTAGGTCAATGGTAGTTCAAAAACCATGGCTTTTTATGCTTTTGGATTTTCACTATTCAAAGGCTTCTTCTACTGTGGGCTTAATTCAAGTGTGTGTGGTATGTTCCTTTTTTTTTTTTCATTTTCTACTTTTGGGTTTAAGGTCTTCATCTTCAAGATCCTCCAAAATGGTCTAGGGTTTACCACCATTTTATTTCTTCCCTTTTGTTTTTTCCTTGGGTTTTCTTGTGCAATGTGTTTTTCTTTTTTAATTTTCTTACAAGACGATATGCTTTATCTCTTTCTTTGATTGCATATATGTTTAGCTCTGCCTCAAGGCTGAACTTTGGACTCGATTTTTCTTTGGTTTTTCCAGTTTGGTGGATTTACCGCCAATTTTTTTTTCTATGTTTAAGGTCACTTTGGAATTATCTTTCAAGGTCTTGGAATCCCTTGCAATGTCCACCCTTTCTAAGACTATGACTACAAAGTTATTTCGTCTAATTATTGACATCTAGAAAAAATGACTCGGAAAGGGAACCGTTTTGACCACTGGTTTCCAAGTCGACTGTTTGACCGCCCTGTTGGAATGGATGGCCCATTCTAACAACAAAAATTAGAAAAATAAAAAAAAATAATTAAAAATAAAAATGGCAAAAAACCATTGAACGGGTCAACGGATCGACTGCCCGGGTCAATGGGTCATTGATTGATTCAACGATTTTTTGCCAGGGACCGGGTTTGGGGTAAAACGGAATTGGTTGCCTGGACGGTTCCTGAGCCGAACGGTCTTACCATCCGGGTCAACCGGGAGTTCTCGATGTGAAACAAAGGACAATTATGAAGTAGAACTTAGAACTATCACTATATGATCGTGTTCTTTTATATGAGATGCTTTGTTGAAGGAATATTTAAAAAATGAGCACATGATGATCTCTTTTAAGTCTTTATATGAGTTTCAAGACTTGAGTAATTATAATTGCAAGTTTGTTATTAAGAAACCATTGTCTTTTTTAATGTAGCAAATAGTAATGTTACAATAGGGGCCCCTCTGCTCGTATATATATTAAAGGGAAAGGGGTGGTCTCCCCTTTCGCCAAATGGCAGTATTTCCTTTAATATACATATGTAAAAGGTTCTTCATTGAAACATAAGATTCAACCGTTTGGTTCAAACGGACGGCCTGTTTTGACAACAAAAATTACAAGCAAAAAATTATGGAACTGTTCTGGCCACTAGTTTCCAGGTTGATGGTTCGATCGTCCGGTTTGAACGGATGGCCCGTTCTGACAATAAAAATTGCACACAAAAAATTGTGTGTGAAGTCCATTAAACAGTACCATACGTGTTATGTCATTCGAGCATGTGACTAATACAATCCGAAAAAGGAACCGTTTTGGCCACCGGTTTTTGGGTCAATGGTTCGATCATCTGCTTTGAACGGGTAGCCTGTTTTGACAACAAAAAAAAATTACGGAATCATTCTAGCCACCGATTTTCGGGTCGACAGTTCTACCGTCTGATTCGAACAGACGACTTGTTTTGACAACAAAAATTATAGGCCAAAATTTGAGTGTGTGAGGTCCATTAAGCACTATCATACGTGTTCTGTCATTCGAGCGTGTAACTCATACGACCCGAAAATGGAACCGTTCTAGCCACCTGTTTTTGGGTTGACGGTCTGACCGTCTGGTTTGAACGAACGACCCATTTTGACAACAAAAATTAAAAAATAAAAAAGGCCAAAAACCATTGAATGGGTCAATGGGTTGACGGTTCAACCACTTGGGTCAATGGGTCATTGACCGATTTAACGATTTTTGGCTAGGGATTGGGATTAGGGTAAAACGGAACCAGTTGCTTGGACAGTTCCCAATTAAAAAAATAAAAAAACGGACCCGTTTTGACAACAAAAATTACAAGCAAAAAATTGAGTGTGTAAGGTCCATTAAGCAATATCATGTGTTATGCCATTCGAGCATGTGACTCATACATCCCGAAAATGGAACCATTTTAGCCATCAATTTTCGAGTCGATAGTTCAACTGTCCGGATCGAATAGTCAACTCATTATGACAATAAAAATTAAAAAATAAAAAATGAGCAGAAACCATTGAACGGGTCAACGGGTCGATGGTTTGACCGCTCGGGTCAATGTGTTGTTGATCGATTCAACAATTTTTGGCTAGGGACCGAAATTGGGATAAAATAGAACTGGTTGCCTGGATGTTTCCCAATTAAAAAAATAAAAAACGACTAGAAACCATTGAACAGGTTGACGCTTCGACTGCCCATGTCAATGGGTTGTTGACTAATTCAACAGTTTTTGGCTGGGGACCGGGATTGGGGTAAAACAAAACAGGTTGCCTAGACGGTTCCTAGGTCAAAATGTCCATTCGTTTGGGTCAACGACGGTTCGAAAACCATGGTTTTTATGCTTTTGGATTTTCACTATTCAAAGGTTTCTTCTACCGTGGGCTTTATTCAAGTGTGTGCAGTATGTTCTTTTTTTTTTCATTTTCTACTTTTGTTTTTTGTTTGGTCTTCTTCTTCAAGATCCTTCAAAACGGTCTAGTGTTTACTACCATTTTATTTCTTCTCTTTTGTTTTTTCTTTTGGTTTTCTTGTGTAATGTTTTTTTTTTTTTTTTTATTTTCTTACAAGATGATCTGCTTTATCTCTTTCTTTGATTGCATGTATGTTTAGCTCCGTCTCAAAGCGGAACTTTGGACTCAATTTTCTAATTTTTTTTCGTGGTTTTTCCAGTTTGGTGGATTTATTGCCAATTTTTTTTCTGTGTTTAAGGTCACTTTGGACTTATCTTTCAAGATTTTGGAATCCCTTGCAATGTCCACCCTTCCCATGACTATGACTACAAAGTTATTTCGTCTAATTATTGACATCTAGAAAAAAATGACCTAGAAACGGAACCGTTTTGGCCACTAATTTCCAGGTCGACAGTTCGACCGTTCGGTTTGAATGGATGGCCCGTTCTGACAACAAAAATTAAAAAATAAAAAAATAATTAAAAATAAAAATGGCCAAAAACCGTTGAATGGGTTAACGGTTCAACCATCCAGGCCAACAAGCCATTGACTGATTCAACGATTTTTGGCCAAGGATTGGGTTTGGAGTAAAATGGAATCGGTTGCCTGGATGGTTCCCAGGCCGAACAGTCCTATCGTTCGAATCAACTAGGAGTTCTTGATATAAAACAAAGGACATTTATGAAGTAGAACTCAAAAGTATAACTCAACATAGCAAATAGCAAATAGTAATATTATATAAATAAGAATAGGATTTCATATGAATTTCAAGACTTAAGTATTTATAATTATAAAGTTTTATTAAAAAACCATAGCAAATAGCAATATTATAAGTCCATTCCAACCCGTGCGAAGGAGGGCCCTCCGCTGGTTAATTATTATTGAATAGACCCTTCGTTACTTTTTGAGCGGGGCTTTCACCGTTACATGTACTAGTTACTAGTCAGTAGTCTATGTCTATTGTCTAGTCTTATATATTATATACTATCAACTATATACTTTTTGTTTTTTTTTTTTTTTTTATTTTTTTTTTAACGGTGTAAATGTGTAATGCAACGCTAAACTTAATTGCAAACCTTGCTAGTCTCTCCAGAAGAAGAGTTGATCTTCATCCATGGCCATGGGGCTTCAAAGTCCATTCTCTTCTTCTTTTTCAAAGGAGGGGTCCTAGTCCCACTAATAACACCATTCTCTTCCCGCCCTCTTTTGCTTCCTTTCAACCATACTCCGAACAGCTTCAATGACACGTTCTCTTCTTTTTCATCGTCGTCATTTTCTTTCTTATCCAACAATCCGTCATGGCTGTTGGACCCTTTGCGCCCTTGCATCATGATGCGATTAATCTGATCAGGTGATACGCTAACGTACTTGGAGAGGAAAGCAATGATCTCCTCACATTGCTTCTTCTTCTGCGCCAGCTCCGAGTTCAGCAGTTGATTGTCTTTCCTCAGCTTCTCGTTCTCGTCCGACAAATCCCATAAGTGTTGTGTCACCGTCGCCTCGCCGGACGGGTGGTTCTTGGAGTCGGGAGAGGTGGTGGAACTGGATCCCAAGTTCTCGCCAGAATTAGCAGCGGGGAACGAAATAGGTCCTCCACCCACTCCGTTAGATTTTTCCCCGGCGTGGGTATGTACCGTCGTCTTCCGGCGATGTATCTCGCTGAGAAGATCTTTTTCTCCTCTCCGAAAGTACTCGTTCGCAAATTCCCATCTGTCCGGCACGATCTTTCGGAATCCCTGCTCACAATATACGCATGATTATGACTATAGGCCTCTGGAGAGAGTTACAGGAAGAAGATGAATGAACACCATGGATCTAAAGAACTTGCATATACACACACGTGGAACATGGATTTGTGCAAGGGACGAAAGAACTAAAAAGAATTTGCGTAGTATTAGCAACTTCTTAAAATTTAATAATGCTCGTAATGTAAAATATATATAACTACGGGTACCAATATGCAAATAGGTCAAAATACAAAGGGGCATTGAAAAGAGAACAAATTTAATATTGGAGGGAGAGACATGATAGCATAAAAACTTACAGAATAAATGCTTATTAAATAAGCAATAGTGTTTGGTGAGAAGGCACTTTTTTTTCCCTAAACATAAATTTCAAAAGGCATTACTTTCTTATGGGAGTAGTGGTATAGGTACTTTGATGATTAGGTGGCAGGTCAAAATGGGCTAGAAAGAGTTCATTTTTGCTACCATGATGTCATAGTGTAAGGCTAAAAGTAAGAATCATAGCCTTAGATGCATGTATTCCCATGGCCCCACCAAGATGCCACCTCATTTAATTCAAGGTGGGGCCATAACAATACATCAAGGCTTTCATTGTTTTGACCCCTGATTGTAGTAAAAGTTGTTTGGGCAAAAAATGCAATAAGTACTTCTTTAAAACGTGGTTAATATGTCTACTGGATTAGATTTGGTCCAATCCGATCCAATTTAATATGGGTCTATTTGTAAATGGATTAGATCCAATCCAATCCGAAACCTATACAAGCCAAGTTCAAACCAGTCCAACTAAAATACAAATAGATCAGATTGGAATCTGATCCAAAATGAATGAAAGATAAAAAATTACATGTAAAACCCAAAAAATATAAAAAAACTACAGAAACATATTAAAATTTCACAAAAATATAAAATGCATCAAAGTAAAAAAAAAAAAATCAAGATAAAAGAAAAGACAAATTAAATCAATTTCTACACTAAATCATGCTTTTCAATAAAATCCAGAGCTTCTATAACAAATCAATTTCTACACTAAACTGCGAACACTGATGTCACTTATTTCAAACCCCATATGCAAAATCATCTATAAAACCAAATGCATTTTAAAAAGACTCTAGATCTCCTACCTACAACAATTCTACCCATGCCTACCCACAAAATACTCATTGCTTTGGGAACATCTTCCATGCATATATAATAACATGTAAGAGGATGAGATATTCTGCCTTCCTAGTTGCAATATTATGTGGGTAAAATTGTCATGGGTAGGAAATCCGGACCCTCTTGAAAGAATTGATAAAGATGCAAAAAATTTTAAAAGAAGAGTAAAAAAAGGACGAATAAAATGAAAAATGGGTTTCAATGGCAGTTTCAGTTAGCTAATGGAAAATTCAGAAAATAAACCACTTTTAACCAAAATTGGATGATATGAACCAATTTTAATTCTTAAATCTGAGATTAGAATCAAATCCTACAATTTCTACATTCAAATCCACTAGCAAAGTTCTTTTCTTTTTCTTCAGATCATGATGGGCTTGTTTTGATTAGTTCTTGTCACTAAAAAAACCAAAATCTAAAAAAGAAATGAAGAAAAACGGAGCAATCAAAATCCTCTTTCTTTTCATGGACTCAAACTGACCAGAATCCGCCAATAGTTTCTCACTTTCTTGTCACATCATCACTTGCTTGCATTTCATTGTCATCACAATTCACGCCATTGGACAATTCCAACCAAAGAATTAAGAAAGAATGGACGAGTTTAATGAAAAGTTGATGCAACTATTGGAATAAATGTCGTCGTTAGAATTGATGCAGACTACTCTCGAGTCTCGCCATGACGTTGCCTTCTTTAGATCGTCACTCATCATTCATCACATTCGATCTGTCAAAAAGAGGGGCTATGGCTTTGGCAAGATTTCTTCCAATGACATATGATCGGAGTCTTGAAGATAACTCATTGGAAAATAGACATAGATGAGATGCAAACCCCAAATAAGACCTACCTACAACTGTCAATCCCAGCATGAAGAAGAGTTTGGCAGAGAGATCTTTTCAAAACCCTCAAAGCATGCCTCAGGCTGAAACCGTTGGATTGCTGGAGAGAAAACCTCTCTAGTCTCTAATATGCCGCCGGAGAAACTACGAGAGAGAGAGATGAAAAACCCTAAACCTTGCTAGATTAGATTTTTATTATTGAGCGGACTACTGAATGGGCCTTTCAGTCGTTGGACAATATATGTTTCATCCGCTAACCTACTGGACGATCAGATTTTGGACCAGTCCAATCCGAATTGATGAGAGCCCTAGTATAAAGTCAAATATTTTGCTGAGTAAACGTCATTGTTTTTTTTTTTCTCTTTTTCCTACCGGGATGCCAATCGCTAGAAGCCTAGAATCACCCCAGACGGAGTCAGATCTATTCCCAAGTCCCAACAAACGAATTCAACGCTAAGGGAGATGTGTACAGCTGCAGTGGTGCGTTGGGAGCGTTATGTTTTCAGCAGATCTCTACCCCTCCCAAACGAGGGTTACCCAAGAAACCATGTGTGACGCTTGAGTCTTAACGGGTGAGCGTACACGTCCCGTCGTCTTCAAGTACTAGATCTACGAGACTACGACTACGAGAGATCTACGCGTCGGCCAATGCATTACTAATCCGCTTCGATTCCATCGGATTATTGGTCAAAATATTGACCACGACGAGGCGGGAATAGGGTAGGCTTGGGTTGGTTGTCGGGATTATACCCGAATTCTATTCGTAGAACGAACGGTACAAGAAAGAAAAACCGAACAAAGGAGGAGGATGGCTTGTTCTTGTCAAGACAAGAGAGCTGTCCATCCTTTTTTTCTGCATGCAGCCCAACTCACTATTTAGTATTGACCTCAGATCTAAGATCTAGCACTTGCCTCAGAAACATACAAGTGGGAGCCAATTTGATTAGTCGGCCGACTCACAACCTTCAAACTAATAAACTTGAAAAAAAATAATAACGAAGTTCGTCGGTAGAGAATGGAAGCTCTGATCTTGTGACACAACTAATAATAGAAAACAAAGACTGAAAAAAAAAATAGAATTGGAACAAAGCGATTTCTTCCATTATCAGATTTGAATGGAGAAAACAGAAAAAAAAAGGAAAGAGGGAGAGAGAATAGAGAACGTACATAGATGTTAAGTTGGCGAACGAAGCTTGAGAAGTTGCTATGTTTGAAGTAGTTAGGGAGCAAATCTCGAGCGAAATCCGCAGGATTCCAGACAACGAAGGTGGTGCCGTTGTCGTTCCATGAGATCATGTCGTCCGTGCTTCTATCCTCCACCAACTGAAAGGTCTTTGTCAGGAATGGCGCCGGAACGCTTTTATGTGCCATCCCCTTTTTTCTTTTATCGTCCTACTCTGTATTTCTCCTTCTCCGGCCAAGGCATGCAAAAATCACCCTTCAACACTTCCTAAATTTAAAAGGCAGCCCGGACAACCCTAATCTAAACCCCAAAAGTAGAGGAACAAGTAAAATGTATAGGATTTATTATTATTATTATTATTATTATTATTATTATTATTATTATTTTAAATCTCCAACCCAAACAAGAAAAGGAAAGGACAAAAAAAGAGTATTGAATGATGCTGGATTACTGATGACGGTGTTAACAGTGGTGGATGGAGCTGAAAAGCAAAAGAGCAGTTAAGAACTCACAACCCCAACAACAAAATCCAGTGACCAACAACCCCGAATTCATAAGCTACCGTTGCTACTATGCCGCTCTCCTTCCATTTATGATTTACCAGTCCTTCACGGCTTCACCTCTAAACGACGAGCGGCTCGGATCGATCTCGAACTCGAACCGATCCACAGGCCCACAGTCATCACTACTCATCACTACTTGTTTTTGATTCTTATGCGATCGGGAATATCCTCTGAGGAAGAAGAACAAGAAGAGAGGATCAGACAAGTGTGAGGCAGGTTCGGGTTGGTCGTTTCTGTTATTATTAAACAGTTCTCTCTTCATGTAGTAGAAGAGTTTAACAGACGCCTTTCAACAAGAATGATTAAAAATAATTTTGGCTACCAAAAAAAGTTAAATTAGCCCCCACACTTTCAGAATTCAGATTCAAATACTTTGCCCCTTCAAAAGATTTTCATTGACTGTCATGTGCTTCTTAAACATTTTTAAATCCCAAACTACCCTTTTACCTAATTTGTTGGACTATTTTTCTCTTTTTTTTTTATATACTTATAAAATCTTTACATGTGTTCTTTCCTTTTCTTTTATCACAGCCAAAGGAGCAAAGCACATATCAGTTTAATCATCAATGCATATTGACGATGAAAGTTAACTGCTTTTCTACCCATTTTTGTCATTTTAAAATGACATCCTTACATGTATGAATCTCGTAAGGGCATTTTAGTAAATTAACATTCTTGGTTAATCCAATAAATAGGGATGGGGCAAAGTGTTGAAATCTAAAGGTTCAAGGGGGTTGTTGTCTCAATGAAATTCATGAGGAGGCTAAGTTTTATTACCCAAAATATAAGGTGATAATTTGTAATTTACCCAAAAAAGTGATATATTAAAACACACCCTATGGTTAATTGACCTTATTTTAATAAATTGTTTGTATTGTTTGTTTGGAAATGCTCACGTAACTATTCAAGCTCAATAAAAAATGTTTAAGGGCATAAATCCATGTTCAAAAGTACCCCTAAAGAAAGAAAAACTATCTGATTTTAGAAAAATGAGCAAGAGAGATCATAGCATATATGTTCCTTCTTCAAACAAATAACAAATTAATCCAACGAAATAGAGTATTTAATTTGTGTATTGTTAGGGCTAAGAACAACATTTTCATTTTTATTTTCTTTTGGTTAAATTTGTTTAGACAAATATTATGGTTTTTTTTTAAGGTACATATATTATGATTAAAACCATTACATTTTCACTTCAATCTAATAGAAGGTCGAATAAATCGGTTGCAAATTAAAGAGTATGTTTTGGTAAAATGCAAACTAATAGGTTTCAATAAATTCAAGAAACTATAGGGGTGTTTTAATAAATGAACCATAAAATTAGAAAATAATTTCGGTGTCTTGATCTGTATTCTACACACTTGGCAGGCATGTGGGCTCTTTCAATTGTTTCAAAATTTCCTTCCAGTTCCAGGGTCGGGGGTCCTCTTTTTTTTTTCAAAAGAAAGCTTCATTAATTTTAACCGAACTGTACAGATGAAGATAAATGATGGTTATAGAATATTTTCACCTGGCCTTTGCATGCCAGATAGGCTACTGAATGAGCATCCTTGTTGTAGTTTCTGTTTATATTGTACAAACTCTAATTGTTCAAAAGTAGATAAAAGTCTTGATAGTTGTGCCCAATGTAACCGGTTTATCCACTTCTTTGGTTGACTTTTATCCTGCAAAAAATCTATCAACTGTGATGAGTCACTATATATCATGATCCTGGATATCTTGAGTTGGCTGACTGCTTTGAGCCCTTGAATTAGAGCCCAGAGTTCCGCATCATAACTGTCGATGGCCCAACATGGTTCTCCTTTAGCAAGGATTGTGCCTTTGTCTGTGCATTGGATGATGAAAGCTCGTCCTGCAAGACTTGAGAGTAAGTCATATGATCCATCAATGTAAAGTGTGGTGAGGGCATTCTGTCTCTCGTCTGTTGGGGTGATAATCCTTATATTTTCAAAGCATTGGTCCTGAGAGCATTGATACTTCCACACTCGAGAAATAATGCCCCTTGGGTTGGTATTCTTGTGGTAAAAAATGAGGTCATTTCTAGCTCTCCATATGAGATATAGTACAGTACAACCCTTCCCTACAAGATGTATAGACTCTTGTGGCGATAAGTTCTTTTAAAATTTTTCCCACCACTTTATGATGGAAACATAAACTTCCTCTTCCTCTTTGATGTCATTCAGGTTCAGCCCTACCTGGGCCTCACACCAAACTGCTCTTGTGAAAGGGCATGTAAAGAGTATATGTGAGGCTGTTTCCTTTTAATGTCTACAGAAAGGGCAGTATGTTTCAAAGGGTGGAGCCATTTTGTGCATTTACTTCGGGTTAAGAGGCCATTCCACACCACTTTCCAAATGAATACTATGCACCTATAGGGAAAGTTCAGCTTCCATAGATCTTTCCATAGGAAATGTGCTTTGCAGGATGATGGTTTCTGGTTTTCAAAAACCCTGTATGCTGACTTCACTGTGTATGTTCCGGAGGAGTTGTGTTTCCACAAAATGTTATCTTGGCTTGACTCTATGTCGGGGGTAACTTGAAGGATATGAAAGCATGTTTGTTCATCAAAAAATTAGGCCAAAATATGATGGTTCCAACTCCGGTCTGGGCTCAATAGTGATGAGACATGTTGGTTACGGTGAGACTTGATGGTTGTGTCTTTTGGATGTGGGATTCCCCCTGTGGTAGTTGGAACCCACGGGTTCGAGAAAACTAAGATGTTCTTGCCTGAATTAACTTGCCATATTATGTTTGGCTTCAATTCTTTTAGAAATTTGTGTGTGGAACGCCACAATAGTGATGAGTTGCGGGTGATTTTGGCCTGAAATGGGCTTTGATTTGGGAAGTACCTTTGTTTGATGATTTGGCTCCAAAAAGTGTTGGGAGAGGATATCATTCTCCATACTTGTTTCCTAAAGACTGCCTTGTTCATGTCTTGACTTTTTTAGAATCCCAAGCCTCCATTTTGTTTTGCTTGGTTTTCTATTCTCCATTGTATTGTGTGTTTGGACTTGTTTTCACCTGCATGCCACCAGAAATCCTTCATCAACTTGTTCAGTTTAGAGAGTGTTCCATGGGGGAGAATTGTTGTCTACATGGAGTAGATTAGCATGGCTTGGATGACTAATTGGATCAAAGTGGTGTGACCTGCTTGGGATAGAAATCTGGAGTTCCAAGATGTGATTTTTTATATCACTCGATCCACTAGGGGCTGATGTGTTAATATCCTATTGTCTTGTACTCCTAGTTTGGTGCCTGGGTACTTTGTGCCTTGTAGAGGCTTTCTGACCTTGAGTATGTGAGAGATAAATTTTCTATGATGTCTTGGGACATTGCTGCTAAACATGATGGAGGACTTCTCATAGTTTGCCTTTTGTCCCGAAAGTTGCTCAAAAGTGGATAGGATTTGGTTTAGAACTTTAACCTGTGACACATCCGCCTTGTAGAAAATGATGCAATCATCCGCAAATAGCAAATGGGTAATAGGCATGCCATTCCTGCAAATCTTGGCTCCTTCAATGAGACCTTCACTTTCAGCACATGCTAGCAATTGTGTTAGTATCTCCATACTCGTGATAAATAAATATGGGGAGAGGGGATCTCCTTGCCTAAGGCCACGTCTCAGTTTGAAATGGCCATAACGTTTGCCATTTAATTTTACTGAGAAAGTTGGGGTAGAGATACATTGGTAGATCATTTGAATCCATTTTGTTCAGTGTTTCATTGAGAAAATTCCAGACCATTCTATCAAAAGCTTTGGACATTTCCAATTTGAGAGCAATGAGACCCTTAACCTTTTTTTTTCTTTCTCATTAAGTGCAATATCTCCTTGGTTAGTATGATGTTGTTTGTTATTTGTCTATTTTTTAGAAAGCCAGATCGGAAAAGGAGAGATCACATCTTCTAGCACTGGCTGCATTTTGAGCACTAACCACTTGGAGATAATTTTGTAGAGAACATTGTAGAGGCTGATGGGTCTAAAATGTGTGGTGGCTGTAGGGTCATGGACTTTTGGTATGAACACCAGATTTGTGTTATTTATTTCCTTGGGGAGATGTTCAGAGTAAAAAAATTGCAGCACCATTTGATGTATGTCATTTCCCACAATATCCCAAAAATGTTGATAAAAGAAAGCTATGTACCCATGTAGACCTGGTGTTTTGTGAGGATGCATTTGCTTCACTATCCATGTTGCTTCTTCAAAAGTTGGGGGTTGTAGGAGGTTCTCTCCATGTTGAATAGTGAGGGTTGGAGTAGGGATCAAAGAAAAGGGGCTGGTGTTCAAACATTCATTAAGTGTTCCCACCTCTTGCATGAAATTGATGAAGAGTTAAGCAATTTGTTCTTTATTGCATGTCCATTCTCTAGTTTGTTGCCTTAACCACTGAAAATTGTTTTGAATTGCTCTTTGGTTTGCTGTTTTGTGAAAATATTTCGTGTTCTTGTCCCCTACTGTAAGCCATAGCTCCCTAGATTTCAGCCTCCATATTTCCTCTTCTTTTTCTTAACCAGTACGAGTATTGAGCTTGGAGGTCTCTGAGTTTTGGGTGATTTTCATTTTGCATTTGAGAATCAGAAATTTCCCTCTGCAATTTGTTAAGATGATCTTGTATCTTCTCAAAAGTATAATGATTCCAATCTTTGAGATTTTTTTTGCACTCTTTAAATTTTGTGGTTATTTGAAAATGTGGAGATCCTAGTATGTGGGTCTGCCATGCTGAAGTGATGATGTCTCTACAGT